GTTCCTCCCGCTCCTCCGCCGCCACCGCCACCACCATCACCACCGCCGTCGCCGCCGTCGCCGCCGCCGCCGCCACCGCCGCCGCCGCCGCCGCCGCCGTCGCCGTCGCGTCCGCCTCCTCGTACGCCGTTGGACTCGCGAATACCCGAGCGCGTGTCCATGGAAACGAGTGGCGGAGTCCCGCCCCCGGGATCCTCGCGGAACCAACCCGGACGACGGCGAGCGTCGCGACGCCGGCCAATGCGGGGCGCCAGGGGCGGCCTTGGATATACTCGGTTTCAAACGACACCCTTCCATCAGAGATACCGGCTGCTGCGGTACGCCAGCTAGCGGGAGGGGCTGCCGATGATCGCGTCACAGGGGAAGGGAAGGGGGGTTGAAATCGCGCCCTGAATCGCGCCGTGCTCACCGGCGATACGCGCCCTAAACGTCGGTGAACGACGGTGAGAGAAATCAGTGAACGACAAACGGTGTTTCACGCGATACGCGACACCCGACATCCGTGCGCGATCAGCGACACGATCAATCCGACACCATCGGAGGGATGAATCCGTGGGGGATGAACGTCGCGTAATTAGCTGAGTCAGATCGGGGACCGCGATCACCTCGAGTCGAGGTTCTCGCCGATAATCTCGTCGATGCGACACGGCGAAACGGAAGAAAAGTGATCCCAGAGATTTAATCCCCTTTCCTCCCTCGCGGATCGCATCGAATCGTCGCGAGAGGAATCGAATACGCGTAATCGCGACATTAAAGTAAACACGCGCGCGCGCGCGCGCGCGTGGTGACACGGTCCAGAGAGAATCCGTGTCATCTCGCCTGGCGCGAGAAGGATTCGCCTATCGGATCGTATCGATACAGGACTGCTGGCCGAGGATTATCCTCTGATCGAGATCCCGCTCGTCGCGAGGCGAGGATGTGATATCGCGAGACATGCACGCGTCGTAGTCGCAACGTTCGCGTCGAAGGAAAAAAAGATGCAGTCGACCTGCCAGCAGCAACAAGCTCAGCCAGGCCAGAACGGAACTTCCGCCAGCAGGACGTCGTTCCTTATCGAGGATATCCTTAGCCGCGGCACCGTCACCCCGCACGCTCACCATCATCAGCTGCATCATCAACACCTGACGTCGACTTCCGGCCACGGGCAGCACCATCAGTACCAGCAGTTCGCCAGTCTGCTTCCCGGCTACTCCCACGGCACCGCCCGCCGCGGCGGCCTTCTTCTTGGGGACCCGTCTTTTTCCGGTAGCCGCTGGGCAGTGGGGGTTGCGTGGTG